TCCTCAATTAATGTCCAAAACAAATACAATGATAAATTTCCACTCAGTTTAAATAAAGGGGTTTTTCCCTGTATTTTTCTTAATTTTACAACTTAATTGCTGTTATGTTTTCCACATATAGCCTCTTAATATATTTCAATCTCAATTCAACAAATACTTGCCCATTGTGTGGATGAAAAGGAAAGATACAAACTTAATTTTAAGATCCTTTCTGCTCCAAATTCCCTACCAATAATACATACAGACATAAACACAACTAAAGAATGATGCATATCAGACTTAGGTAAATATTAACTTCCAAATACCACTGTTAAAAATAAAACTTGGGAAACATGAGGTGAGAGAGTGCCTCTGCTTTATTTCTATCTTGACTTGAAACTAGATATAATAGGCCCTTTTGAAAATATCCTTGGTTCTATTCTAGGAACCAAAACAGAGGTTATGCCACTTTTTCTCAACACAGAAATATTAGTGCAACTTATACGCTAAACACAAAGGCGCTTACAAGGGCCATTATTACATCTTTTGAGTATTGTATGAAAATAAACTTTTTTTTTTCCATAGAAAAAGTGAAAAATCCTCCCTTGGATCCCTAACTCGCACAACTCCTGTTTTCAGTTGGATCTGAGTGGCTTGGTGACACGGTTATGTGGCACAGACTGTAAAGTTTGTTCAATTTGCAAATACTTCGGTCCTCAAAGGCTGGTCCCAGGTGGAAGCCAGAAGGGCTTGTTTGGGCCTCTCCTTGCGGGGGAGGAGGCCATGTCCCTATCAAGGTCTTTTTCTTTATCTTCCCAAAACCTTTCCTTATCCACCCAGGGACCAGCAGCATTTTGTAACTAGGGTCAAGGCAGGGGCTTTCCCTTCTTGAACCCCATCCCAACATGACACACAACTTGAACCCTCAAGTTCCCCTGGCTTGGTCAACCGTCGAAGAGACCCCAGTCAGCAACTGCCTACCTTCTCTGAAAAAAGGGCAAGAACTGGGGCTGTGCGCAGGCGCACAGGTCACCTGTGCTCTGAGAACAACTGGAAGCGCCAAGTTAGAGCGCTTGTCCGCGTTCTCACGATGTAAGGAGATGGCCCTACCTCTTCAACCCCTTTCCCAGACAGGGAAGGAGCCTGTGCTGGTCACTGAAGAGGCAGAGACAGATGTTTAATCCAGTCATCCTCTGCCCCAGCTGCATCGGAAAATTATGGCTCCCTCTTTCCTGCACCCCTGGTCATCTCTTAGGTTCTAGACTTCAGTTTGTAAGATGCTGGTGGCAATCTGGACGGTGTCTAAAAAAAAAAAAAAAAAGACTCCCAGGACCACAAGACCAAAGCGTAAGTGTCTTGTTTGGTGTGGCTGTATTTCTGAGTCAGATCTCTCTGTTGGGATGAGAGTCCCCAGGAAACTGGTGGGATTGCTGAGGCCTGCCTGTGGGTGACAACTATGCAAGACAGAGAGCAGTCAGTAAGGCAGAGCCAGTGCTGCTAGAGCAAAAGAGCCCATGAGCCATGGAGATACTCAACAAAGGAAGCAGAATGGTGCAGCACTTCCAAGCTCTTGAGTTCCAGCTACAGGCTTCCTGCCTGGGAATACTGGGGGTTCTTGGGCTTATGACTTTGAATAACTTACCTGCTCTATATCTACATTTCCTTCCTCAGTAAAATAGCAGTATAAATATTTACTTAATTCCCTAAAAATTTTATGAGACAATGAACAGTCCTACCTAATGCACAGTAAGTGCTCAATAAATGTTAGACCTTATTTCATAATAGTAGCTGCCATTTATTGGGTACTTATTATAGGCCAAGTGTAATAATTTTAGACCTGAGTTCAAATAGGATGTTATTTATTTATTTATTTGTTTATTTACCATATCTTCTGCTATTCAAAGGCTGGGGTAGGTAAAAGGAAGAGGGAGAGAAAGCTGAGAAGAAGGTTGTTAATAAAAGTCTAAGACTATGGGACAATAAAATGTATTTCTAGTTTCTTTGAAAATTAAGTCAAATAAGAATGTTTGGAGATAAATTAGAGATAGATTGACAATAGGCCTTGAATGCCAGAGTAAAGAAAAGTAAAGTGTTTTTTTATTTTTTAAAAATTTTTTCATTCTAATTTGTTATACATGACAGCAGAATGCATTACAATTCATATTACACATATAGAACACAATTTTTCATAGTTGTGTTGTATACAAGTTATATACACACCATTTGTGTCTTTATATATGTACTTAGGGTAATAATATCCATCTTAAGGAATAAGTTTAGAAGGAAGAGGTTCATCTTTTTAATTTGGAAAGAAGAGTTCAAACAACAAAATGTCTGAAAAGACTTCTTTTTATCATAGTTACAATTAGACTTACCCAAAACATGAACATCAAGGAAGCTGCTTTTGACATGATATATACATACATACATCCACACATGTATAAAACCTACTCCCTAAAAAAAAAATGATTTCTCATTAAAACAACAACATTAAGCCCAGGAGGAACAATATCTGCTATGTCTCTAAGGAATTCAGACATGAGCAATAAGGAATGTAGACATGAGCATTATGGAATTTTTGCTAGCAATTTTGTGGTTTTTTTGTATATATATATATTTTTTTTGTACCAGGGATTCAACTCAGGGACAGTTGACCACTGAGCCACATCCCCAGCCCTCTCTTGTTTTGAGACAGGGTTTTACAGAGTAGCTTAGGGCCTCACTAAATTTTTGAGGCTGACTTTGAACTGGCAATTCTCCTGCCTCAGCCTCTAGAGCAGCTGAGATTATATACATCCATCACCATGCCCAGCTTTTGCTAGCAGTTTATAAACTTATCTGTTCTATAGGTGTCTCATTCTGGTTATCATTCATTTATTTTTATGTGAAAAGTTGATCAGAATGGGCCACAGAGCAAGGAAAACACTAAGACTGTGGAAACTTATTCAGGTGCTGGAAGTTATTAAACACCTACTTCAATACATTAAATATTCAACTTAATAGGGAGATAGTGAAAAGGTTTCATTTTATACCCTCAGTTCTCTAAGCTCTCAAAAAGAACTAATAAAACTGCAAAGTTTTTACAAGGATCCAAACTCAAGTGTGCTTTGGGAGACAGGGAGTTAAAAATGTTTTGGAAGTTAAGTTTGTCTAAGAGTATAAAAAGCCTCTGGTGCTCCAGTTCTAAGGAAATGCTCTCCTTTTTCTAATAAAGCTTTCCACAGAAGACAAAACTGTACACAATTAACAAGGTAAGTATAAGGAAGAATTACTACAGTTCATTAACTTTCTGTTGCATATGGACATGTAACAGAAACTTTACCAATGTGAAGTGTGCTTCAAAATGCTGATCTGTTAAAATTCCATAAAATAAACCTTAAAATTCAAGTCATTTGTGCCAGCTAAAGGAGATAACTAAAGCAGCATTTCCAGAGAGACTAGGGCAAAGGACAGTACAAACTACAAATCGGCAAGGAAAAAAACAAAACATAGCAGTGTTAATAATTTACCATAGTTACTGCTCTTGAAACCAAAGTAGCATTACAGCTTTTATCTCTTTACATTTATGTGTGTTTAGTGTACACTCATATGTGCAGAAATCAAAGACTGTGGAGCTTTGTGTTAGAACAGTAATTTTGGTTTATAAATTTATATTGTTACTTTGCTTTATCTCTGAATTATGGTCTCTTAAAGGAAAAATTTGGGAGTTTGCTTACTAAATATCATGTTGGTTTATTAATCATCATTAAATATTAAATAGCATTCATATTCATATTTCCATCATGTGTTTTATTTGTGTGCGTGTTTGTTTCCTGAGCACACTGTAGTGGTTGTTTATGTGAATTCTGAAAGAGCAAAAGTAGAACTTCAGAGGGGACCAAAAATAACAAAGAGGCACCCTGTTGCCCTGTGAAAAAACACTGGACTTAAATCAGAAACATGGGCCCCAGGCCTAGTTTTCTTTTATGTAGCTGTGGAAACTTATTCAGGTTGCTTAACCTCTCTTTGTTGTATCCCTGCAATAGGGATGTCAATACCTACTCTGTCCTATCTTACGAAGTGGAAAAACATCATAAATTTAAGTACTCTGCAATTGTAATGAATTATGCTTGTACTCTTATAAAACAGCCTGGTATTACTAATACATAGAATTTTAATGCTTGAACATATTTGACTTTCTGGGTGATTGAACATGAAATCAAATCAGATTTGGCTCAGCGTCATTTCTCCAAAGGCATGTAATCATCTTGGTATTCTGGGTAATTTCTTCTAATAAGACCCCCTTTCACACAATGCATTCCAGTGGAGAGGACTTCTGTCAGTAAATGAGGCCATGTCTTTATAAATTCATATCATGTGTTAATATATATAGTATGTCCCAAGACATTTTCGTGCATTAAAAGGATTTGAAAATTACTAACAGTTGCTTTTCCTTTGGTACTTTGGCAAGATTCCTAGGGAAATTGACAGAGAATAACCAATAACATCACGAAAAAGAAACTAAGGGATGTTTCAAAGTAGCTTTTCAAGACCCAGTGATCACCAATTGGGTCCCTGTGTCTCTTACTGCATAAAAGCAATCCGAAAGAAGGTGCTGGCTCAAGAAGAAGCTCTGAGTATCTGCCTTTGACTGTTTCTAGATATGAGCTTCAATGCCCTTAGATCATGAAAAGTGCCTGGATTCACTTCAGAAATGTTTTTTTTAATGCCAGTGGAAACAAATATCGAATGAGCCACTTATTTTTTTTTTTATTTTAGAGGATTAGAACTTTACAAACTATTTTTATTATTACAAATGATCATGAAAGCCCTGTTGGATGGCATTCTAGCTGAAGGGGAAACTGACTTTTTGTACTGGTAGGAGATGTCAATTTATTATTGTACTTAGATCTACTGACCATCTGAGGGAGTTAGAAGTCAACAACTGTATCTCTGGTTGATCTTTGCATATTTTAATCCAAATATGGTAAAGGGCAGGGCTTCAAAGGGGAGTGTTCATGTAATAAACAGGGTTTACAACTTGTAACAGAAGATGTTTAAAGTCTTCCACTCAAGGGAACTCTGTACTTTGCACTTTGGTTAAATTCTCATTTGAATTTAAATTTCTAAACTTTTCTTAGGACCTTAAGCTTCCTTTGATCTCCTCTCTTCTGAATTGCAGAAATCAGATAAAACTATTGGTAAAATGACCTCTCCTCACATTACAGGAAAACCTATAAAAAAGATTGCTATCTTTGGAGGAACTCATGGGAATGAGCTAACGGGAGTATTTCTAGTTAAGCACTGGCTGGAGAATGACGCTGAGATTCAGAGAACAGGGCTGGAAGTAAAACCATTTATTACCAACCCAAGAGCAGTGAAGAAGTGTACCAGATATATCGACTGTGATCTGAATCGTGTTTGTGACCTTGAAAATCTTGGGTAAGTGTATATTTTGTACAGAGTGCATACATGTATGTATGAAATGTGGTATGTGTGTGGGAGAACTTGTATACACATGTGTGATGAATATTCATGTATACGTATAGTGTCTATAATGAGTAAGATTGCTTTAATTTCTAATCATGCTGCATTGTGAATTATACAATTATGGAAACTGGGCATTCATACTTTTTTAAAGTACCACATTATTTGATTTTTCTTTTCAAATATATCCTCTGTAGACTACAAAAATATAAGAAAGGTTTTATTTTTAAATCATATCTTGAAAGACAGATTTAATAATCCTTTGCATAAGTTAGTATTTGACCACTATGTATATATACACACTTGTTAGCTGTGTGGGAAATTCACTACATTTATTTTCAACTATGTTATAGTAGCACATAAAGTTCTAGTTAAGAAAAATATAATGTTCCAATTAGTATTTGTTGAATGAAAGAGTGAATAAGTACCCATTTTCAGAAAACATGAGACCACCCTGTGGCCTGAGGAATAGATGTATTTACCTTCCAGGATGGATTAAATAATGAGAACTGAAGACACTTACCCTGAACTTTCTGAATTTCAGTTGCAGCTGATTTTTAACACATTGAATACAATATATTTAATCCTAATATTCTAGATGGGTCCCGACTAATTTTTGCCTTTTTAAATGTTCTGATAGTTACCACTGTATATGCCTCTAAGTATTTGCCTCTTCCATTTCTTTCTTTCATTTACCTAAAAATATTATTAAACAACTTTTCTCATTGTGCCAAGTACTGTGGGAGTACAACACTGTGTACAAGATGTTTTTCCCCCCAGGGAGTTGGTAGACTGCTAGCCAGGATATAAGATATGTACAGTAAGAACTAACTACAATACTTTTTGTACCTGTTTTCTGATACACTAATTTGATTTAGAGAAGTCTTTGGGTTTAGTGTCATTATGGAACAAAAGGTGAATACTACTTTTAGTACAAATATGCTTGTTTATGGAATAGATTGCAAGGCAGTTTTATACAGTAGTCATAATTTTTGTATTGAATCATAATTTTACTGGCGTAAATATTAATTTTTGAAATGCTTTACCTTTATGATTGAGGTAATATCAACACAAACATTAATCTAAAATGGCTATTTTATATATAGTATTACAAGTAGTAATTTGTTGAAGAATAACTTTTTTGATAGCATATTAACTTCACACATAACTCTAAAATGAATTGGGGTGATTTTTCTTATTATGGCCACCCAATATAGTATGCCTTTCAGTGAGAGCAGCCTTTTAAATTAAATTCACATTCTGTTTTTTATTCATAACACTTTTCAGAGGCCAAGCAGTTTTCTCTTAGCACAGCTAATATGAAAATTTATGAAATAGATAAACCAATTATCTTTTCCTAATCCCCCCAATTTTTCCCCTATATTCCTCATCTCAGTAAGGACACTATCACCCAGTATAAAGAAAATCCCCCATAGAAATCCCTGTCCTTCATCCCCCATGTCTAGTGTGTAAGTCCTCCCAAATGTTCGTTGCAAGACCTTCACAAATCCAGTCATTCTTTCCCTTTTCAATACCTTTATTTCTTCTAAAGACAGTTATAATGGTATTTTAACAGAGTCTCTCTACCTGGAGACTTGTGCCAGTCCTTTCTGCCATCCCTTATGGTAGTCATAGGGATCATCCTAACATGAAAATCTTAGGCCTTCCCCTCTCAATTTTTTTTAAAAATTCTCCTCTTCAGAATAGATGTAAGCTAGCTAGTATAGCTGATAGTGCCCTTAGGGGTCTTGCCCCTGTCTGTTCTCTCAGCCTTATCCCTTGGAACTGTTCCAGTGGTACCTGTACTCCAGACATGGGAACTCGAAATGTCCATTGTCAAGCCTAAACTTTGAGCGGCTGGGTGGGCAGTGGTGCTACCTACTCAAAGGGGATAGAAAGATGTAAAAGAAAATAGGGTTGGAGTAGCCTCATGGGATTGTTTTATGAATTAACTTTTAAAACACACGTGTGTGTGTGTACACATGTGTATAATATGTATATCTATAACACAGGTATAAATACGTATGTGTATAATACATGCACACCTGTCCTTTAGGAATTGTGTTTGGTTTTGTATAATAGACTCAAACATACTGGCTTAAGCAAATAAGAGTTTCTTATTCACAAATAATAAGTCTAGGACTGGTGGGGTAGCTTCATGATATCATCAGGACCACAGGTTGCTTCTCTCTTCCCCCTGTTCTCGTCTTCACATGTACCTTTTTATATTTTTTGCTTCATAACTGCAAAATGGCTAATCCACCTTCTTGATTGCATTCCAGACAGGAAACACTCAGGTACAAACTGTAGGTCCTTTAAAGATAACTAGTAAAAATAGCCAGAGAATAGAAAGAGATGGAATTACATGAAAATGTGGTTGAGTGATTTAATGAGAAAAAATAAATTTAAACCATTATCATGTATAGCAAGAAAAAATGTATCCTAACCATTTCAGGAAGTGAGGAGGGGTTAGATTGAGACTCCATCTAAGAATATAATAACAGATATTAACACTTGCCCCACAAACACACACACACACACATACACACACATACCTGTAAATTTTTGTATTTTTGGAGTGTCTTCAGACTCTAATCTGTAAACCTTGTCCCTGGACCACTGATGACTGTTGGGCCTCAATTAAAAATACCTAATGATGATGTGAGCATCTAAGTTTGACTCTGTTTCGAGAACTTGAATTACCCAGGGTGAAGACTGGGAGGAAGATGCATTTAATGATCTATCCCCATAATAAATAACAAGTGCACCATAACTACAAAAAAACTATAAATAAGATTAATGGAAAATTTTTGTTCAAGGTTGAAGTCAAATGGTAAATTCTGTTTGAAAAGTCCTACCTGTGACTAGCAACATAAATGAATGTATTATTTTTAAGAATATCAGTGCAATATTAGTTATGTGGAAACAAATGGAGCAAAAATATTTTTCATTTATAACAATTTTAGATATTTTTACTACCCTCACAGATTTTGCATATTAAAGGTTTGGCAACTGGTTCTTTATACATTGTGTTTTTATTGACTATTTATGTTATCTTAGCCACAAATGTTGTTAATGTTTTTCTTTCTGCTAATAATAGCAAAGAGATGTCAGAGGATTTGCCATATGAAGTGAAAAGGGCTCAAGAAATAAATCATTTATTTGGTCCAAAAAACAGTGAAGATTCCTATGACATAATTTTTGACCTTCACAACACAACTTCTAACATGGGGTGCACCCTTATTCTTGAAGATTCCAGGAATGACTTTTTAATTCAGATGTCTCATTATATTAAGGTAATGTCAATGTTATTAATTTATAAGTTTACATAAGTCAATTATAGATGAGAAACAACCAGAACAGGGTCAAGAAGGAAGGTCCAAGAGAAATGGGATCTATTCCACAGCTGGGCTGGGAGGCTAGATGGGAGAGGCTGTACTCAGATACAGAGGTGGTGGTGACAGGCAGGAGAAAAGGAGAAACCAGTAAAATAACAAATATAAGGAACAAAATGATAAGATCCTTGTGGATTCTTGTGCTTATGAAATTATAAATTTTATTCCAAAAGTCACAAATTCATAAGCTATTGAACAAAAAAACAAGAAAAATGAATATCAGAATTTTAAATGGCGTGGTTGAAATATCAAAATTACAGGGTTTTAGGAAGCTCAAAAATTTGTCATTTCCAGCAGTGAAAACGTTGTGTCCCTTAGTCCTGCCCTTGTCACCATTTGATTGGGATTGCCTAAAACACACCCAACCTTTTTTGTGTGTGTATGGGGGGAATTACCAAGGATTGAACTCAGGGGCACTCCACCACTGAACCACAGCCCCAGCTCTGTTTTGTATTTTATTTAGAGACAGGGTCTCACTGAGTGGCTTAGTGCCTATCTTTTGCTGAGGCTGGCTTCTGAACTCGTAATTCTCCTGCCTCAGCCTCCCAAGTCAATGGGATTACACACCCAATCTTTTGTCACGTACTTCATATAGCTAATCATTTTAAGACTCAGGAATCTGTAAGATTAAAAATTCAGCATTTTACTGCCTTAACTAAAAAAATGGTAGAAAACATCAAACAAGCAAAAATGCAAATAATGGATTTTGTTTTTGATTTTATATAATAGATATAGATGTTCTTCCTTTCTGAGAATTAAAATGTTTTAGTGGGAAAAGTTCAACCCATGTAGCCAGAAGTTGGATTTAAATCTTGGCTTTCTCCTTCACTAACCTTGAACAAGAAGTTCAACTCTCAAAACAGCTTTTTTTATTTTATAAAATTGGTATAACAATACTCACCCCATATGGCTGCTAAAAGCTTTAAATGAGAAAAAGTATTCAAAGCATTTAGACTACTGTCTACCCTGTGGTAAGTATTACTTTTGTTTCCCTTGACCTCTGGACAGTAAATACTAGTGGTTCTGGGTGGAGATCCTTATGTAGCTGAATGCTTTGATTGCCACTCACAGAAGACAGAAGGTTATACCCAGTTATCTAAACCAAGAGACCTGTATCAAATTTTCATTCAAATAAGCAGAATGAAGAGGAATCACATGACATTTGTAGAACCTGAATTAAAGGGGCAAAAACAGAGCTCTTTAAGAGACTAAATAAGCTGAATAGTAAGGGGAACCAATGATGAAACAAAAATAACCAAATCCATTCAGAAGGAAAATTTATTTCCTGTTCTTTGGTCATGGCTCTGAAGAATTTCTTAATTTACATTTTACCCAGAAGGCTGCATGTAATTCAATTTCATATGTAATTTATTTGTATGTTTTCAAAGCTATTACATTGAATTTTAGAGTGTTCCATAAATTGTCTGACTAATCTTGGTTGATGAAGCAAAGAATATGAAAGCATTACTGACTCCATAGCAGCAAAGAGAACAAAACATATGGTCCTTACATAATAAGAAAGATGTTTTAAAAAATTCTTTTCAGACTTCTTTGGATCCATTACCCTGCTATGTTTATCTCATTGAGCATCCTTCCCTGAAATACACAACCATTTCTTCCGTAGCCAAGTATCCTGTTGGTAAGTCTGTTGGCATAGCTGAATAAAATATGTCCTATCTGAAACTCAAAGAAAAATTAAAGAATATTTATAGCTACCTTGCACATAATTAAGTCTTATAATTATCAGAGAATAATTAAATTAACCCCAGGCAGACACTATACTTAATTTTCTCAATATCCCTGAGTAGCTTTCTGGTTCTATTTATATTTTTACCTAGGTTTGGTCCTTCATATGAGTCTGACAGATTCTTCTCATTCCCAAGACTTAAGTGAAATGTCACCTTCTATAGAACCTTCTGTCTAGCTTCACTCTACAGAATTAATCACTCTAAAATTTATACTTTCAAAAGACATTTATTGGACTGTGCTAGGTTCTGGGAAAATAGTGATGATATAGGCACACAGAATCCCTCAAAGAGCTTAGTATCTAATGAGAAGGGAACATTAACCAGGTCATTACTGCACAGAGGGATACATGGCCATAGTAGGAGTAATTTATTCTCTTTCCTGTGAGACCCACTAGCATAATTAACTGTTTGCAAACTATACTATAATTAAAATATCTATTACAACTTAAGATCTTTTTTGTTAGATCTCATAGGCTTTAACCAAGAGTAAATTTAAGACCAAGTTGGCAAATAATATAAGCAAATGAAATTATCCTGTTTGATACTTTTGGTTCATGATTAAGGAGAGAAATTAATTATTAATTATAATTGGAGAAAACTAAATATTCAAATATAGGCACAAAGTTGTAATAAATGTAATAAACCAAAACCTTACTATATGAGATAGGGGTGGGTACAGAGCTCAGTGGTACAGTGTTTGCCTACCATGTATAAGATCCAGGGTTCCATCCCTGGCACTATAAAGTAATAATAATAATAGAGGGGCTGGGGTTGTGGCTCAGTGGTAGACCACTTGCCTAGCACTTGGGAGGCACTGGGTTCGATCCTCAGCACCACATAAAAATAAATAAACAAAATAAAGGTATTGTGTCCAACTACAACTAAAAAAATTTAAAAAAAAATAGAGATCATGGTTCTCTTTGATACCAAATAAAAGTATAAGACTTCCAAACTTTGAGAGACTAGCCTTAGAATATGATATTTTGGGGCAATGCTGTTTTAACAGGAACAAATATCTGCTGATAAGTTTGGTCCTTACAAATAGAACCAAAGCTTTAAAACATTTCAATATGAGGGAGTATTATTAAAAATATTAGCATGTTTTCCTTCCAACTTTACTCTTTTATATTTGAAATATATTATGTCATACACACATTGGAAAAAAGCACTTAAGATCTTAGGCATTCTTTTTGAGTCAACATTTTATAATAAAAATATTGCTCATATAAACTTCTATAAGTTATGTACAAGGACCACTTTTGCATTCCATTGCCAAGGTGACTGAACTATAACATGATCAGGATAATTGGACTATTATGAATGCCTTAAACTATTTGATATTTACTCTAAAGCTGAAGAAAAGTTCATTCACATTAAAAATTGGATACTCAACCAAAAGTATGATTGTATTAGAAGAGAGAAAAATGGAATACATTTGGGGTAGGCAAACAGCAGTGTCTTCTACAAAATGCACACAGACATGTCTGTGAACACAATTTTCATTGATATGTACAAATCATTTATGCACAGAGGCATGCCTTGGCCACACTTATGATATCATATACTTAAATGAGTGCCTGTACATATACACAAGAAAATTACACAGTATACCATAATGAGCTTTTTGAATTGGAAAGTAATAGAAATGGGTGAAAATAGGATGGGTTAAAAGAATATATTTGAGTTGGATGGAAGAGAATGAATGTGGGTGATATACTTACTAAACAGTTTGATAAATGGAGAAAATAATGACTGGAGGGATGACTCTGTGGGAGACTTGTGCAGGTGGAGGAGTATTCTGCAGGTGTAAGGATGGATGCTTGATAGCTACAGGAAACAGACCTGGAAGTACAAGCATAGTTTTATTGAGGTTAGAGGAAATACAAATTTTTCTACAGAAAATAAGAACCATTGCATTATCTTGTCAGAATGGGTTAATATTAAGTATAAAAATGTCCTGAAGTCACATAGGTTGCATGTTAACTTAAATTCATAGTTTATCTAGCTAGATTTCTATGACCAACTAGATGTCTTTCCTCCTGTGAAAGCTAAACATTAGGTCTGTGACAGTTTCTCTTTGTGGCCACCTATTATTTTGTCATATACAGGTTTGTCTACCTCTTTTCTATGTTATGATATTTAAATATTTGAATCATATTGAAATAAATTGAAGAAAAAATAACCCTGAGTTCTAACTACTCAAACACAACTCTGATTTTTTCCCTATTCTCTTCTAGCCTTTATTCACTTTACATTTATCACTATGCATATTTAAACATGTAAATATTCTGCTTTATTTTGTGCCTAACATTCTGTCTCAAATATTTTCGATGATGCTACTGAACTTTTAAATAATTTTTAATAATGGGGTTCTAGATATAATAAAACACTTAATTTTACAATACATTCTAATATTACTATTTTCCTTTCTGTACCTAGGTATAGAAGTTGGTCCCCAACCCCAGGGTGTTCTGAGAGCTGATATTTTGGATCAAATGAGAAAAATGATTAAACATGCTCTTGATTTTATATATCAGTTCAATGAAGGTAAATAGTGGGTAAGGGTTGTTTTGTTTAATTGTGGGTATTTTTTTTAATTGTGGGTATTTATATTTATCTGTGTGTTAGTCAGGTTTCATTATTATGACCAAAATATCTGACAATAACAACTTAGAGAAGGAAAATTTTATTTTGGACACATTCTTAAAGTTTTAGTCCATGGTTGGTTGGAGCAACTGCTCTGAGCCAAGGTGAGGCAGACATCACGGCAGAAGGGCATGGTGGAGGGAAGCTGCTCAGAACATGGCAGCTGGGAAGCAGAGAGAAGGAAAGGGCCTCAGAGAAGATGAACCCTTCCAGGGCACACTTCCAGTGACCCAGTTCTTCCAGCTACTCTCTACCAGTCTACAGTTAACACCCAGTCAGCCTGTTCAAACCAGGTTGAACTGATTAGATTGCAGCTCTAACAATCAAATCATTTCACTTTGAAATATTCCTGCATTAACACAGGAGCTTTTGGGGGATACCTCATATCCAAGCCACAACAATACTATACATATATTATATATATATATATATATATATATATACACACATACACACACACACACACACACACCAGTGTACATTACTTAATTGTGTGTGTATGTGTTTAAAACTTAACCACTAAACATTGAAGTAGTAATTGAAATTTAGGTTGAATTTTTTGTGCTCAGAATGTTGGGTGTTTTTTCAAATTTTTATTCACTTCAGCTATTCCTCAATAACCAGAATAGATACATACAAGAAAAACAGTTGCTAAATAAACAACCCAAATGAAATCCTATTTTCCTATTAAACTCCATTTTAAAAACCAAAGACAGAGTAGGAAATATAAATGTTCTATTAAAGTAGAAAAGACGTTCAACATCATGAGTAATCAGAGAAATGCGAATCAGATTGAGAAACAACTTTTCCCATTAGATTGGAGAAAATAGAATATGATGATATTAAGTGTTGGTATAGGAAAAGGAGATACTCTCATTCCCTGCTGACAAATATTTGAATTGGTTAAGACACTTTAAAGGGTAATTTTATAATTATCTGCTATATCTACTTATTAAATTGTGCAAATCTTATGTCCAGCTGTTCCACATTTCAAAGAAACACAAGCTCATGAATACCCAATAGCTTGTACTTAAGGGTGGTTATTATAGCTTTGTTTGCAATGGACATGACTCAAATGTATATCAGTTGGTGAACAAATAATAATAACATGGAAGAATCTTCAAAACACATTATTGATTAAAAGAAAGAAAATTTAGACCAGAATATGATATACAAATTTACTTTAATAATAATCACTTGCTAGAATGCATATAAGTATAAAATTATTGACAAAACATAACTATGGTGACATATTTACTATGTAGTTCAGTGTCTGTGGGGAACATAATTCCTTAGCCTCAGATTGTGTAGCCCCCTGTGATCACAGGAACTTCTTCTGTGTTTGGCAATCCTTTGACTCGAAAATCATAAAAACCGAAAATGAGCTGTTCACCAACTTTGTATGAGGACAGGTTCTTTACTGTCTAATGGAAGTAGTATTGGGAAGGTCACAACATATTCAACAAGAAATTCTCAAATAGTAAGCGTGGAACTCTAATATGTTAAGAAATTATATCCCCAGGGAGAATGCCACAAACCTGAGTGGAAAACAGTTTACAAATCATAGTCCATAGATCCCTACCACAAGGCTGGGGAACATTAACTCAAGGACACTCTGCTCTCATTATTTTTGCATGCATCAGTCACCCTCATCTTGAATCTGGGCTACCCAGGTGGCTTGTTTTTGTGTCACAAAAGAGGCTTGAAAAGGATTTATGCATTTGGACATGCCCTCTAGTGGCTTTTGGGAACCCTGTGTGGCTATTGTGAGACACAGCCCGCACTAATCTGATTAAAGGTCACAGAATGGAAGACTCGGACACCCCAGCCACCAGTCATGCAGTTTGAACCTTCAGCTCCTGACTTGCAGTCCTAAGCTCTTTTCTCCCACACTGGATTTTGTAAGTTCTGTTTTTTACATCAGTTCATCAGTGCACTGATAGGAATAATTGCAGAACTTTTTGGCTTTATATTGTTATGAACATCTTTAACTAAACTTAATGTGTTCTCCTTGTAACTGTCTTCATTTTGTTGTTGGTATTCTTCTTCCTGCCTTTCTTTCTTAAAGTATCAACTTCCCTGTTTTATAAGAAGATTTTTTTTAGTTGCTATAATACATATTATTATTATTGTAGGAAAAGAATTTCCTCCCTGTGCTATTGAGGTCTATAAAGTAGTGGAGAAGGTTGATTATCCCAGGAATGAAAGTGGAGAAATAACTGCTGTTATCCATCCTAATCTGCAGGTAACTAATCTGCTGTTTCTTTAAAATATTGAAAATATTTTAATAATGTTTTACCTTTGAGTAGAAGTTCACAGTCCATACAGAATTTTACATGCATTAGCTAATTTGATGTTCACAAAACCACTGCAGTGTAGAGAAGTGTATTAGCTTTCCATCACTAAGATGAAATGCCTGAGGCAATTAATTTATACCTGGAATGGTTTTATTTAGTCTCAGTCGAAGATTGATTGGGTAACTCTGTTGCTTTGGGCTTCTGGTCTGGGTACTGAATGGTAATAGTGGGAAGTGTGTGTTAGAGTAAACTGCTCACATCTGAGGTCAGGAAGCAGAGAGCAGCTCAGAGGCTGGGTCCTACAGTCTCCTTCAAGAGCACACCCTTAATGACCTAAGGGCCTCCCACAAGGCCCCACCTCCTAAAGGTCTAGCACATCCCAGGAGTGCCATCCTAGGAACCAAGCCTTTAACACCTCAACTATTGGGATACACTACCTATATTCAACCTATAGAAGGAAGCTATTCAGACCTTTACTGGATAAATACTAGTTGAGTATAACCTGTATTGACTCAGGGGAAACATTAGTGAACACAGTCTATAGTCTCATGGAATTTATAGTCTAGATATAAAAACATTTAAACTATGGTCTAGAAATGATGATAACCAGATTCTGTAACAGAATAAAGAGGTGGGAGAAGGGTGGTCAGACAAGGCTTCTTACAAAAGTGAAATTCCTCTCCGAGTGCAATGGTTGGGAACTGTTATATCTTTTGTAATAAAAGAAAATGGAGACAGAAATTGGAGCCATCCCATAGCCACAATTATCAATGAAAACCACAGAACTAATGTCCTTGCAGATGACCACATTACTTCCACCTCCCGGTGGTCAAAACCAATTAAGTTAGAGCAAGACAGAACCTGTTTCTCTGGGGCACTGCTGCCACCATTCCCTGACTCTCCTCAGAACTGAGGTATCTGTGTACACCCCCTGCCTGGACTGATCCATGATGGCAGAGTGAGGGAGGAAGAAGGGGGAGGCTCAGGAGGTTTAGTATGGAAAAGACAAAGAGAAAGATAGGGCAGAGCAACAATTCCAAAAAGTTAAGATGCCCATTCCCCACATGGAGTGTCCCACACATTCTCAGACCTGAGATGAGAGGTTACCTAGTGTGGGGCTTTCAGCCCTGACTGCAGGCTACCTAGAGAGCTTTCTAAAAATGAAAATGCCAGCACTCTACTCTGAGATAAACTGATCTTACTGTATGGATGAAAACCACTGATCCAATTCAAATCCCCATTTAATGACCCTAATTGTCATCTGGACTTGTAACTTTATACATCATCCTGCCCCAAATACAGACCAGGGAGTAATCCCTGCTTTGTGATTTAATGGGATCCTGGTAGAAACCAGAGCAAGACACCTTCAGCGGTGTTTTAAAGGAGAGGTAAAGACTCAGGGAGAGAAAGGAAGAAAACCTTGTAGGTGACTAAAACACTCAGCACAGGAGACACAGGCCAAGATGATGATGGCACAACATTTAATACTCTTGAGGAGAAAAAAAGCAATTCTGGGGAACTGAGAAGTGACATTGAGATCAGCAGCTAATAGCATTAGAGATAGGTCTCAGAAGTCTAGAAAAATAGTTTAGATTTGTATTTGATAGACAATAAGGAATGACTTGGTGTTCTACAAGGAGAGATCGATTGGTTAGTTATCTCAGTATATATTTTGAATGACTACTAAACCTGTTCTTGGCCCTGAGATTCAAGACAGGCAAAGTCCTCTTGGAAATTCCATATTAATTGAATAAGCAATACATAAACAGGTCATTTCAAACTGTAACAAGTATTATGAAAGAAAAGAACAATGTAGCAGAGGACAACAAAGGGTTCCAATTAAATGGAGTAGTCTCTGAAATAGTGACATTGAAACAGGAACCTGGAAGATGAGAAGCCAGACATGGAAAATAAGTGCAAAGGCCTTGGGGCTGGAACAGACTTGGAGGGTTTGATGAATAGCAGGAAGAGCACTGTCAGTGGAATATAAGCTGAGCAGAGTGGATATTGGCCCTAGAGCCAGAGACACTGGCAGGGACCAGCTACCTGTCTAGATCTTAAGAGTGATGGACCTTAATTGGGGTTACTTATCAGAATTACCTAGGGGATTTTCTCCCCAGATGCTTGGAACCCATCACAAACTACTAAAGCAGTGCTTCTCAAACTCAGGCCACGTAAGAACCAGCTGAGGAGCCTTTCAAAAGTCCAGGATCCCAGGTCCCAACCCTAGAGGTTCTGATTTAATTTACAAGGTGGACACAGGGAATCAAATGACTTCACCAGGTGATTCCATAGGACTCAGGTCTGGGGAGCACTGCACTACATGGGAACCTCTGCAGATGCAACCAACCAATGGGCAGGGAAGTTCCTTCAGTAATTCTGGGCATATCTCTGCCTGAAAAGCACTTGTTCAGAGCAGCATTCTCAACCAGGCTTACAGAAATCACCTGGGACTTATAGAAAGAAAGGAAGGAAGGAAAAGAAAGGAAGAAAGGAAGGGAGGGAAAGAAAAGAGAAGAGTGAACTAGAAAATTGAGAAGCATGAGGGATTGGAGGAGATGGGTGATAACATAGATGTTTTTATTACAAAGCTATAGGTTATATGACTATGCTATGTATATATCAAAATTTACAACTGCACACAAAATTAATGAATTTTACTATATATAGATTTTTAAAATAAAATTTTAATAAAAATGTATTTATTAAAAATAAAGCCACACTTTAGATTCTGATTTGATGTATCTGAGATGGGACCAGCCCTGTTCCCATGTAAATATATATTAATATCCCAAGTGATTCTAATGTATGGCTAGAGTTGAGACAATTACTGAGATGCATGCAGTGCTTTGCGTACTTCAACATTCTACATGTGAAATTCCTCTGTAATAGAGTTTAACATGTAAACTCTGACAATTTGTTAACATGAAGATTTTGATTTAGTAAGTCTGCAGAGGGGAACAAAATTTTGCTTTTCTAACAAACTCCTGGGTGATGCAAGTGCTTCTAGAAAATATTAGAAATGCAGAATCTCAAGGCACCACCCTGATCCTTAGCATCAAAATCTGCATTTTAGCAAAATCCTCAGATGATTTATAAGTACATCCAAGTTGGAGAAGAACTGTTCTAGACTTCCTATGATCGGACAACATTGGAACATCCTTCGATTAAAGGGCCAAATCCCTGGGGCAGGACCTGTCAGATAACACAGTTGTTAACATAATGTGGGGACACACCTGGAGTATATACACTTCGTCTTAGACTTTTCCCAAAACCACTCACCAGTTCTCATCAGAATAAAGTCTCCCTGTGTGCAAATACATGTGACTCATTTTTATGTCCCCAACAGTAGAATGTCTTGCAAACAGAAGGCTCTGAATGAATATTTCCTGAACAGAATTTGACTTCAGATGGCATAAAGTAGAATGTGCACTTAGGTGGATGTGAAATTTATTTTTCCTCTTAATATTATAAACCTCTTTGGCCACATTCAAGGCAAACTTGGTGTCAGAGAAACTCTAATTACACATGTCAACTATAAAAATTAACAGAGAAACTCTTAAAACTGCTGTCCCAAACAGTTACATGGTTCCAATGGAGTCAGGTTTCTCGCATGCCTCTCAGGACACCCTTAAAGGATCACTTTTTAAAGAACAGAATGGTATTTGTTAATCATCTAGAATCTGACATGAAAATTTTGTAATTTATTATTTTAACTGTCTTCCGAGAGGATCAAGACTGGAAACCATTGCACCCTGGGGACCCCATGTTTGTGACTCTTGATGGAAAGACTATCCTGTTGGGTGGAGACTGTACTGTGTACCCGGTGTTTGTGAATGAGGCTGCTTATTATGAAAAGAAAGAAGCTTTCGCAAAGACAACAAAAGTCACTCTCAATGCAAAAAGTATTCGCTCTTCTTTCCACTAGAAATCAGTGCTAGCTCACTTTTTGTGGGGAATCTTGAAAACAGACCAGTCTGTACGCTCCTCATGAACAGAGTTGTGCCTTATTCAAGTTCATGTTCATAGCATCTGACCCAGTCCCCAAGCAGTAGGCATTCACACCAGTGTCTTAAAGAAAAGAATAAATTAATGAATGTCTTTTAAAGTTATCATATTTTATGTAGATAGCTTCTTCAAAGAAGTATGCTTCCTATTTCTGCATAGATTTTTATACATTTACACTTTGATAATTTAATATTCTTTAAAACAGCTTTCACTTTCAATGTATAAAAGATATAGCTACTATGTGCAAAGTTATTAACTTGAACATGGCATTAAATGTATGTTTTCAAGTAATGTTTAAGAGCCACTAAAAACTAATGGTGCAGACTATTTTTAAATTTTTCATGATTGAGTTAATGACACTATATTAAGTATTCAGTCCATGAACTAGCAATAACTGTGATATCCATAGTAGATTTTAGCTGCTATTCTTCAGATGACATGTTGAAGAGAAATGAGGGCTGATTATAAAGGTGACAAATACATCTAGAAACACTGATGTCTTACACTGGCCTTGAGAAGCTACCTGTCCTTCTCAGCATGGACAATTAGGAAGAGGCAAATTCCTCTCATCTGCTACTCCTGTTTTTGAATGAACACTCACTCTTACTCCCAGCCAAAGTGTGAGGAGATCTTTGGACTCCAGTAGCTGTCAGCTTAGGTGGTTAAGACTCATAACAGAGGACAGAGGACACTAATAGAAACACAACCTAATCCATGTCTAATCAGAACCCTAATCCATGTCTCTGGTTTGCAAACACACCCTTTCAAGAAATTCTCCCATTTTTTTTTTAAAGCTGAAATCCCTCACCTCCCATGATTCTTGTCTTCAAAGGACCTCTGGCAAAACACTGCCTCCCTCCCAGCCCCATTCTCAAGGCCCTCCTCCTCCCTTCTTTTAGGTCATAGCAGCCAAGGAAGGAAAAACTTTATCCTATGATTTGAACCCCAAAGAAACATGTTTATGGCTTCAAATGTTTTACCAAAAATATTATAGGGGACTTACATAGATACATAAATGTTTTCATTCTTCCAAGGCCAACTCCACTAAGCCAATTTCACTCCATATTCATTGTTTTATAGAGCACAATTAAATGATTTCTAAATTTTGTACTAGAAAAATCATTGTGTACTTTGCCAAAAATATTTTCATTAGAATAAACTTCCCTTCGAATGTTGTAGTAAAAATGTGTCAATCTTCTTTAGCACATAAGTTTTACCCAGTATCCTTCCTTATGAATATTCTGTTGTTTTTTTAATATTGAGTCCAAATCCTCAGGGTCAGTTTTTTCAGATGCAAATTTTGGCAAGGAAACTTTATCCTTCCATCGAGTTTTAGTAATTTGTAAAATTTATAATGTGTCATTTGGATCGCTGTGGTTTCAGTTTGGGGATTCATAATTTCTATTGAGCCTAATATTTCCTGACTCTATTGTTATAGTCTTCAGTGTTTTTAATTAGATGTGATTTTTTTTTTCTTAATCTACAACAATGGCTGGGTAGTTAGTCATTTTCAGTTTTATTTTTTATTACTTCTAACTATCTGCTAGCTTTGTTTTCTCATGTATAAAGTAGGAGGGCTCATAATAATAATGCTTCTGCTGTGGGGGTTACTGTGAGGATTAAGCAAGTTAATGCATATGAGCATTAGCTCAGTGCCTAGCACTCAGTTCAAACCTAGCACAAAAGAGCTCCTATCCTCCCCGACAACCTCTCTAGATTCATCTCCATTCCCATTCTCTCTGTTCCAAGGCACTTTGTGTTGTTTTATTCCTGAACACCTTCACCCAAACTGATTCTTCTCCCTAAAATTTTCTTCCTACCTTCTTGCATGTTTACCATCTTCCCCTGCCACCCACCCACCTCAGGCCTTACTCTAGTTAATTCCTGTGTTTCCTTCAAAATGCAACTCAAATCTCATTTTAGGTATGAAGCCTTCGTCTCTATCTGACTTAGTTGTCCCTTTGCCCTTCCTTCCATCTATGCCATCTCAAGGACATTAACAGAGTCTTTTTCAGACTGCAATCTATTAAGTGCCTAATATAGGTTAGTTGAATAAATGAGGGTATTGTGCCCAAATACTCTTCTCTACCTAAACATCTCCACATTCCACCAATCTCCCTGCCTTCTTTTTTCCTTCTTCCTCAGTCACTTCCTGGGTCTTGTCACCACCTCTCTTGAGTGAAACTTACTCCATTCTACACTCTTCAGACTGTTACTATATCTCAAAGGACAGCTGGAGAAAAATAGTAGAAATAAAACATACTTTTAAGCCTTTAATCCCATAGGATTAAACAGGGAAATGTTCCCACTCAGTAATTCCCCTGAGTGAGACATTTTGGTGGCTTCTCCTTACCCTTGAAATGAAGTGTCAAAGCCTTACCTTGATGGGACAAGCCCTACATGCTCTGGGCATGGCCACCCCTCTAGTATAATAATAATGCTTGTGCCATGGGGGTTATTATCACTTGGCTCCTTGCTCCAGCAGTTGGGCCACACAGGCTTGATTCTCCAGACCTCAGATGCATCAAGCTCCCTACTACCTGGGGGTCTTTGCCCATGTGTTTTCACTTCTTGAAAGTCTGCCTCACCCTCTTATCCCTTGACCCAGATGACACTTGTCCTCAGGTGTGATCCAGCCTAGGTTAGGCCCCTCTGTTATACAAATACACTAACTTTTATATCAGACTAGCATGTACCACAACTGCAAAAGTACTAATTTATGAAACTGGGGTAGAGGGCAGTCAAATATCTGTTTACTTAAACTGCAAAAGCTCTAATGGAGCAGGGAGAGTGTCTTGTTCTTTGAAGTATCCGTAACTGAAGACTGAAGAAGTCGATCAGTCTTGTTGGATACATGAGATTGATCTGATGAGTGTGAAGCCATCCTAAAGGGCTTCCTCAGAAGAGCAGATTGTCTTAGAGACCACAGAAGATGACCCTGGAGACCACTAGATGCCACTGGGGCAGGAATGGTGAACCACATACAGTTACTGCTCCAACAGGAAGAGCAAGTGGGAAGGGGCAGTGGGGAAACTCTGAAGACCGAGATGACCAAGGCCATGGTGCTGGGAGAGGAGCCTACAAGCCCTGGGGGCACCAAGGCAACTGGACCAGGGCACATCTGCAAGGCCTGCATTTGCATACCCCATGCAGGCACAGTCTGAAGGGAATCGACTGCTTAGGGACTCCCCAAACCTTTTAATACCCCTGTATTTCCACATATATTGCCTTCAAAAGAGACTCATAACTTACCCATAGAGACCTTCTTTATACCCCCAACCCCAACACAGACACAAACAAAGTCCAGTGCTGGGAAGATAGTATTTCCTTAATACATCAGATCAATGACTTGGAGGCTCTCTATGGAGTATTTCACCCAGGGCTGCCTCATAAGGCTTCCTGGGTCACACAGTACACAACTCCAGGGAAGCAAGGCTTTAATCCCCTAAATGCAAAGTGAATGGCACAGCCCAGGATTTTACACCCCATCAAACTGAAAAACATGATTGGTATTTCCTCTTTTGGCTGAGAAAAAGAACAAGGACTTGATTAGTAATGTAAACTTCCCCTCAAAAAAAAAAAACAAAAAACAAAACAAAACAAAAAACTGGGGTCTATAGGGGATTGCTATGATTAACATATAATTAATATAAAGTAAACTTTAGAAAGAAAAATATTAGAGCCACCTTAGCTACATATCATAAAACATTTTACGATATTTAATGTGTCACCTGTGCCTGGCATAGTGGCCTTTTCTTGGCCCCTCAAGAAGGCTTGCCACAGTGAAGGAAGATATTCTGGGAATCACCTAAATCAAATAAATAATTCACTAAATGCCATATTTCACTTAATTTTGAATTGGTCTCATGTCTCACACCCATGAAGATAAAGCGGTATGGGGAAAATGAAGTTGAGAATAACCATCTTTACAAAATACTAAAAAGAATGAAAAATGCTCATACACATGAGTTGGGCTGATGGGCAATAAATATAGTAACAGTATCAGCTCTTTCATACTCATTTTCTCATTGCCTCCTCATGAAAATCCTGTAAGATAGGAAGGATATATATATTTATTACTGGGGATTGAACCCAGGGGCACTCAACTACTGAACCACATCCCCAGCCACTTTTTTGTATTTTATTTAGAGACATGGTCTTATTGAGTTGCTTAGGGCCTCACTAACGTGCTGACTTGCTTTGAAGTTGTGATCCTCCTGTCTCTGCCACTGGAGGTATGCACCATCATGCCCTGCTGTATTTTTTTTAAGTCCCTGTCAATCACAACCAGGCCACGATTGGCCCTGAGTTGCATGTAGCGATGTCCTCTACAGTGCTGGAGTTTAGATGTATGGACAAATCTTATATAATTCCACTTACATAAAGTATTTAGACTAATCAAATTTACAGAGATGGAAAATAGAAGGGTAGTGGCCAAGGTGTTGGGGGAAAAGGAAATTATTATTTACTAGGTACAGAGTTTCAGTTTTGCAAGATTGGTTGTACAGCCAGCTGAATGTACTTCACAACTTTGAGCTGTACCCTTAAAAATGGTCAAGATTATAACTTTTATGTGTACTTTACAACAATTATATTCTTAAAGTATAATATATACCACAATATAAGACCATATACTCATAAACAGTGCATATACTTTGCCAACATCAGGTTGAAAACACTCTCTTGCTTATAACATCTGACATTTTACATAATTATAAAATGTCTAACCAAAATTAGGACTCAGCAAGTATGTTTATCTGTCAGGGTGGAGAAAAAAAAGTCTGATTGATCAACTGCATTTGGGAATGAAATGAGGAAGAATGTCTCCATCTTTCTCTATGCTAACAAAACAATTATGAAGCAAAAGAAGGGGTCTGGGGTTGTGGCTCAGTAGTAGAGTGCTTGCCTAGCATGTGTGAGGCACTGGGTTCAATTCTTAGCACCACATAAATAAATAAAGATCCATCAACAACTAAAAACCAAAAAAAAAAAAAAAAAAAAAAAAAAAGAAGCACAAGAACAGGACAAAGCACTGAAAATAGTTGTTGTATAAATACATTCTTCTCTGGAATCATGCTTCCTCAAAGGTGACAGATGTGTATGCAACTTGCATGTGGGGCAGTATTGCGCTTGGCCCATTGATTTTGCAGTATCTGGGTATCCCATTTGCCTACAGGGATAAAGAACTGGGTTCATGTCTCTGGAAGGCAGGTACATACTTAATAAAATATATAGATATTTGGAAACATTAGGCCCAGATTTAAGGTCCCATAGATCCAGTCTCTTAAAAGCGCAGAAGAGAGACTCCAGTCTGTGGAGCTTAGCATTCTTCATTCCAAGCTGCAGATTCTATCCCATTACCATGGCAGTAAAGCTGAATCAGCCTCTGTTCATTTAGTGACAGAGGTCACATGAGCCTTTGATGTTAGCTGCACTTGACCTCATTCAGAGAGGCTGCTGAGCTGGGCTTTCTGCCTGGGGCCCTGTGGCCATCAAATGTGCATCAGTTGGGAGTAAAATGACTAGTGACCTGGGACTTCTACTGGAGTGTCACTGAAGTGCCATGTGACTGCTGGTGACTCAGTTCCTAGCTCTGGGAGCTTCAGGGGATCTTTACATGAGACTCAGTGATTTCTCAGGTGCCTTCCAGTCCTGATATGCTAGGTCCCAGATGGCAACTTTGAGGTCCCAGCAACTAGGAGGGGCTGCCCTGGAATATCACTTTGTAAACAAGACAGCAGAACCGGTACGCCTTTTCATGCTTTGTCTATGCTGCCTGCCACCTGAGGCTCTGTGACAGAGTGGATGGAGTCAGCCATCACTCTCACCAGATGGTAGGTGCTGTCCTGAGGGTTTCTGATCCACTCCACAGTTATGTGGCACATCTGTGTGCCCTTCTTACTAGACGCGAGAGAGGAGATCTCTGGTATGTAACCGTGGCAGAAGGTCTGGACATGGTGAAATGGTGGAGGGACATGGCAGCCACAACAGAGGACTTGGGCCCTGCCTTTGAGGTGTGACCAAGAGGAAAGACCTACTTACAAGACAAAGTGAAACCAAGCATCTGACAGGATGGACTGCAGATCCGAGGGTCTCAGCAGGAAGATGGCGATACCCTAGGGACAAAGGAAAAGAAAAATTTGTCCTCTGCATGCCGCTCACTGGAGGACCTCAGGGAGGGAGTTCACCCCAGGACTGAGACTCCATGAGAGGTGAGTGTGCAAAGGTCCAATCAGAATCCAGTGAGGGACATGTAGGTGACCCCACAGTAAGGAGGGATGCATCTTCAGATTTTCTTACCTCTCTAACTCCTGACCCCCATCCTCACCCCAGAACCTGCAAAGTTACATAATCACGACAGCTCCATTCTCCAAAAATGGCCTAGCTTTTCCAGCCTCTGAGCTTTTGGTCCTGCTGTTTCCCACAACTAATATGTATGATCCTGTCCCCATGTCCTTATGTCCCACCCTACCCTAACAGCCCAAGTGCTATCATTGTCTTCAAGCTTCTCTCCCTCCCCCTGTCCCTAGATAAAAGTCCCTTCTTCTGCCCAACTTAGGGCACTTTTCCAAGTCTACCTTAAAATCTAGATGTCTGTGCCCATGATCTATCTCCTACCAAACTGTGAACCAAAGAGGGCAAACTCCATCCTTACCACCCAAGTCCTCACATGTAGAAGGTGCTCAGAATATACCTGTTGATTCATTGCTTGGATGGAGGGATGGGTAGATGGATGGGTGGATGGCTGGATGGATAAATGGATGGGTGGATGGATGAACGAATGAATGGATGAATACATGGATGGATACATATATGCATGGATAAACAGATGGAAGGATGGTTGGATAGAGGAATGAAGGATGGTGGGTAAGGTAGCATGGGTATATGGATACAAGAATGAGTGGCTGGGTGGCTGAGAGCAGGTGGGTGGTGGATGATGAGTGAGGACAGGGAGAGGTGGATGCTCACTAAATGGCTAGAAAGAGATAAAGGGTGGATAGTTGGACGGTGAACAGAGGGAATGAAATAGGTAGGCTAGGCTTACCTTATTCAGTTATTCCCATGTTTTAACTGGGGATCTAAGGCTTGGAAGGGAAATTCCTCCCCACCTGCCCATCAGGAATGGTAGAGAAGGGCAGGATGGCAGCAGGCCTGCCCTCACCCTGCCGGCCTCACAGAGCAGTCTGGAAAGGCTCAGAAGCTCACTCACCTCTTTCACAGAGATGCATGTGGCCCAGATCAGCACGAACATCCTCCCCAACAGCTGCAGCCACCCCATCTTGTGCGTCAGGGCCAAGGGGTGTGGGAGGGCCTGTGGGGGAAAGTGAGGAGGGGGAGGAGAAAAGTGAGGAGGGTGGGCAGCACCAGCTCCAGGGACCACAACACACACAGCCCTCAAGCTAGACCAGAGGCCAGCCTGGAACACCATCTCTGTAGAGAGCCTGAGAGGGAATGGAAGGCCCCTGCCCCTGCCTTCCCTACCCTTGGTGGGAACCAGAACTCCACAGTGAGCAGGACAAGCCAATCTGTGCAACTCCTCCACATGCTCCATGGCATTCATCCCTCCCAGAACCCATCCATCACCAGACACTCAGCAGGGCCTCTTAACATAGTCAACAAAGCCCTTCTGTGCTCTGGTGTTGGGTGGGAAACCAAGGCCCAGAGGGGTGGATAGTTTGGCCAAGTGACCACACCCTCCTCCCATCTCCTGTGGCCCTCACAGCAGAAACACCCAATGCATTCTAGATTCAGATCAAAAGCCTGGACAGGGCCTGGGTTTCCTGATTCCCCAACTTTCCCCAACCTGAATTCCCCTGGGGCTAAGTGCCTGGAGCTTAGCCCTCCTAAGTTCTAAAGACATATTCAGTTCCCTGGAAACTTTGAAGGTGACCCGCACACAAATTTCTATGCCTCTCTGGGCCTTAGTTTCCCCACCTGCCCAGGGAAAGCTCTAAGCTCCTCCATATCTGACCTCCCCATTCACCCCCAAAGACCCACGTACCTCCTCCTCCTGAGGACAGTAGTAAGAGACGAGAGTTGGGGTGTTGTTGTAGAAGAAATAAAAACAGAAGGACAGGAAGAACATGTACTTGGCAAATTTCTTCCACTTCATGTGCAACAGTGTGTGCAGGGCCTCCAGAGTCAGCATCTCATGCCGATTCTGGGGACAGAACAGTCACCATGGAGATGAGGAGACAGGGAAGGACCACTTTCAAAGGGCCCATCATGAGCTCTGAGTCAGTGGGGCCCTTGGCTGAAGGGACCCGTCTTTATGCCCAATGGACTGGTTTGGCTGGAAATGGTGGAAAGGCACCTGGGCTCTTCCCAAAGCACACAGACAGCAGGGAAATGCTCCAGGAGAATGGGGCTTCCAGCAGGAGCATCTGCTGCACAGCAGGGAGGGAAGGCTAGAAAGGGGTTCTACTGCCAATCCCCCTCTTCACTGTGTGTCCTTAGGAGCCCCTGACCCTCTCTGCGCCTCAATCTCCTCATCTATAAAATGAGGACAATCCCTGCCCTACCAACCAGGCTCCTGCAAGGATCCAGAGATACCCTAGACAAGGCAGGCTCTGGGAAGCAAAACTTGGTAAAATACCAACAGCCTTCTGTCTCACTCCTCCCAAGAGCTAAAAACCTCTCAGAGCTGATCCTCTCTATTTACCTCCAATCTCACTAATCTCCTGCTCCAACCTCCTCCAGGAAGCCATGCACTGACTGACCCTCATGTGGAACTAGGTTTGGGAGGAGAGAGGATTCCAAGCCAGGCCATATGGACTACACACACCCCCAAACTGCCCAGGATTCTGGGACCCAGAGACCCTTCACCATTAGGGTCCACAATCTGAGGCTGACCAGGAACAGTTGAGCCTAGCATCTCCCCAGCCCCTGATACTTGCTTCCATGTCTAATTCTGCTGCTGAGAGAAAGCCCTGGGGACTCCAGGCACCATGGAGCTAGCACTCTGGGTCTTCCCAGTGGCAGACTGAGGTCCCACCCTAGCTCCCTGCCCCTCCCAACTGCCCAGGAGACACCGTCAATGTTGGTGTTGTAAACGATTATCTCCAGCACAGAATTGTCTGTTGTGGTGTCCACGTTGGTGAGGTCATACAGTGAGGATGACACAGTCAGTAAACTTCCTTGACAGGCTCCGGAGCGGCTTCTCCTTGATTTCACGACTGAGGATGTACTTCAGGATCTGAGGACAGGAAGGGGAACAACTGTCAGCCACAGAATGGGGCTTGGGCCCAACAGGGCTGGGCCAGCCAGAGGCAGGGCAGGCCCCAAAAGATGCTTCCATCAAGATAAGGTTTGAGTCTCACATCTTCACCATGACCCCTGGGCCCCTGCAGTATCAGTGGAATGGGTGCAAACCTCCAGTTCTGCCCATCTCACTGGGGACCAAATATGTGAAGGCCCTTCATAGGCTACACAAAGCTGCATAATCAGTTCTTAATCCTGGCACCAGCTGTGGCTCCAGTTCAGTGAAGGACCCAGGAATGGATTTTTTTTAGATTTGTACCAGGAATTGAATCCTTAACCACTGAGCCATATCCCCTGCCCTTTTTTATATTTTGAGACAGCGCCTTGCTAAGTTGTTGAGGCTGGCTTTGAACTCTCTATTCTGCTTCAGCCTTCCGAGCTGCTGGGATTGCAGGTGTGTGCCACTGTGCCTTGCCAAAAATGATCATTTTTTGAAACAATTTCTAATTGGTCTGGAAGAAGACCAATTGGTCTGAAGAAGCTAGAAGTTGATGTCCAGTTTCTCATTCCACCCTCAGTCAAACTGAGGCTCACCGCTCTGGCCAGACAAGAGTGACACAAGATGCCAGCCTTATGTAAAGGCCTGTGGGGTTAGTGATCCTCAAACTCTGCTGCATGTTAGAGTCTCTGGGGGAAGTTTTAAAACTCCCAAACCACTGCCAACTACTAAAATCCAGATTGCAGTGTGGGAGGGTAGACCCAGGAGGCTACTAGGTAGAGGTGATTAGAAGGCCACCACTCTCCAGCTCACTACTGCTTGAAGGCTGAGCCCCCAGTTACTCAAGGTTGGGTCTAGGGCTTCCTGGGTCACGAGTCTAAGACATAATAGGAGGTGCTGTTGGGGTGAGAGGTGTCACAGCATGGATCCCTGTGCTGGGCAATGGGGACGCAAAACTGACTGGATAAGACCCTGTCCTCCGTGATTCACAGAACCATCTAGTCCTGCTCACTAAAAATCCACCCAGAAGAGAAAACAGATGAGTGGCTATCAGGCCAGGGCTGGCAATTTCCTGTAAAGCCCATGGTCAAAAACTTCAGAACCAGAAATGTGCAGAGCTGGGGGTGCGTTGGCCTGAGTCCATCCAACAGGCAGGTCTGTTCCACTCCCTGTGGCCTTCTCTGCAGTGAACCATGGCTCTGGGCACTTTGTCCAGCTTCTCTGCTCCTTCCATATCACATTGTACTGCACATTTCCTGTCTTACTGGATAAACACCCACCTCCTCCCCCTTCAAGTGTTTACAATTTCTAGAAATGGTCAAGTGAGCAGAGTTTCTTCTGATTGCTCTGTCTGCATCATTGAGCCCAAGGAATGTGAGCTTAAGGCTTGGTTGTGTACTTGTCATTAACAACTTGCTTTCCAAATAATTCCTACTGGCTTATTGGGCTTTGGGCTTTTAGTATATTTGGAAATGTCCATATCAACTCATGTTCACTGGTATTTGATTTTTTTTTAATGGTTTCACCAATCATGAGGGTGAGATCTGACTTCCTGGTGTGGCTTTTATTTCTGTTTCCAAGTGCAAAGTCCCAAGGCCTCAAAAGGGTAGATGCATTTGCCGAATCTCTTAACTTTCAGTGGATTCTTTATCTCCTGAAAGTTTCCCTGTTGATTGCTCTGAATGAAGGTAGGTGTGATTTCCCTAGACCCTGACTTCAGGTTCAGAGGAGCCGAGCAGAGTCCAAGCCCAGTTTTTGTGGCAATTGGCAGCTGGCTACAGATACAAGAGTCCAGCCAAAATGGAAGCATTCAGTGAGATGAACTTCATGTGTGGAATCCACAATTGACAGAGGTGTGTTTTAAGGTTACTTGTAAAGTACACGTCACATCCTTTGTACCAGTGAAGTTAATATTGAGTATGTGAGTATTCTTCAGAAAGCCTGCTGATAGACATTCGCTGGCACCCCAGATAGTGTGCAGGGTTAGGGTTAGGGGGCCTTTGAAGTCCCAGGAGGGCTACAGGGCATGGCACACCACTGGGTGAGGCCCAGGATGGAAGCAGGGCCTTGGCCCACCCCACTCAGATCCTTTCTCCACTCAGCTGCTAGGCCTGGAGCTCTTGTTCCTTCCCTCAGAGCTGCTCCTCCCACTGGGTACAGAGCAGAACATGGCGAGTATGTCCTCAAAATGCTGGAACTCAAGATGGGGAAGAAGAACCCACACTCAATCCCCAACACTTCCTCCAAGGTGGAGCTGATCAACCTGGGAAAGAATCCAAGTGACAGAGAAGGTGGACCACGAGGCTGACAGTGGCTCTCATCAGTGAATGAGAGCCCAAGAGGGACAAGAAGAGGGCTTGAGAGGAGGGCAGAGTCCCTGCTCCCAGCCTTTCCCAGGGAGGCCCCTGGGAAGGAGGCAGCCTGTGCAGAGCAAGGCTCAGGGGTGGGTGCAGGAAATCTCTGCCTCAGAGCTTCTGAACCTCAGGATAGCAAGCTCTGACACAGTGCAGAAAGGCTCCCTGCAGAAAGTCTGTCAGCAGCTACAGATCTATCCATTAAGTCAGAGTACAGAATAATCCAGCCAGGACAGCCAGAGGCCTCCATGAATTATCACAATCTGGGAAGATGAAGGACCACTACAGGTTTAGAGCACTCATGCACCACAGGAGAGGCAGCCAAGAAATTCAAACTTCCAGCATCTTAAGATTCCAAAATCAACCACACAACAAGCTCTACAAAGGACATGCCAGAAAGAAAATACTCACTCAACAGCAAATATCAAAGGCACCAGGGAACTGGAGGAAACACACCCATCATATTCTCATAAAGAAGTAACACTAGAGATAGGGTGGTACTCACCAGCAGGTGACCAAGGAACAACTGCAATGAGGACACTCTGGGGTGAGACTCAAGGACCCAGAGGAGCCTGAGCATTGGTGGGCAAAGAGAGGTCATCCAGAGGAATCAAAAGACACTGAACACTTATAGGTGACAGGTGATCGATCACCCAGAGGACACTGAGGAGACTGCATGCTGGAGGACGAGGATGCTGACCCTCCGTTTCAGAGTCCATGGAGAATATCCCTTGTGGGAAGTCACCCCTGAGATATTTAGCATCTTCACTCGGCCTTGAGCCAAGGAGATTTTGGTTTGGCATTGCAAGTTATTTTGTGGCTCCTCCCACTTAATGGATTACACAATACACGTGACCTCAGTCTTCACTGGGCTAAGGAGACTGGTTGTAACCCACTGGGCCTGGACAGCCCACCTCCTACCTTAAATGGTGAAGAACATTCTATGGAAAAACCTTTGATATTTCCCCCATATAAATAAACCAATGCGGGCTCTTGCGTGCTCTCTTTCCAGTGTGGAAGCTTGACCCCTAAGATCGAAGAGCCATTCAGCCCTCACTTTTCAAAATTGCTTTCTGTGTCATGTAGTTTTTTTTTTTTGCCACTTTCTTTTCTTAGCTTTATCTTACAGCTAGCCTGCGTCATGCAGAAGAGACCCAAATTCCACTGCCTGGGGGGATGTGGGTGAAAATGCCTCAGTGCAACATCTCAGGTACCTCGGTGATGGTGGGACAGGGGTGCTTTTTAACAGGTCTCAGGATGTTTTCCATGGTGGTGGGAAATTTTCCTTTGTACATATCACACTGTCCTGTCCAGGTGGGAATTGTGCCTGATCCATAGTTCCCAGAGTGTTTCTATTCTGATGAAAATATAGTGCCCAGTCGCATGTCATGAAAGATCCTAATTATGGTTGGAAACTTGGCTTTAATCCACTGGTCACCAGGACCTCAGAAATCCTGGGCATGGTGTTAGAGTCTGTAAACAAGTCAAAATAACACCTGGCATTTTGCCAGGGGAATGTTAGAGTTTGTAAACAAGTCTGGATGGTGCCTGGCAAAATGCCAGAGGGAGTGGTTTGAGAAGTAACAAAAGTGAGCCATTAAGTGTGGAGACTCCTTATTG